CAATTTAAGTTATCCGCTGCTAACATACACTACAGCCTCTGTGAGAAGCCAGTGCTGACATTTTTTCTGCTAATACATTATACATAATGCAGCACACAAACTTTGTGCAGGAAACAATATTTGAGACAATTTTTGACCAGATGCACATCCTGTATTTGAAAAATATTTGCCAAATATAGTATGTAAAATAAGCTTTGTATTACATTGCAACCACATTTCTCATTTTCAACCAGAATAATCAATATGAATCATATTTGAAAAATGGTAATGACTTCATTATTATTTTGTCCACCTTCTTAAGAACTGGGTCATTACTTTCTTTTCTCTGTTGCTTTTCTCAGCACAAACCAAATCTTACATCTTGCTCTTCTACTCTAAACACTTTACAAAATCAAATGTTGGCAAACAACTGTATGTTTGTGCAGCTTTCATTTAATCATGTCAATAAGAAAAGAGTGTGGTAAAGTAGATTAACGAATCAGCAAGTTAAAAAAACCTCAAAAGTCTGAAGGGGGGAAAAAGCTCCAATTTGAAGCTAGTAATAAGAAGTTTCCATATCTCATTTTGAATACAATTATAAAAATCTGTTTTTAGAGCACATCTCCTTTCCACACAAACATTAAACTTGTTCCCAAACATCTGTCCATAATACCAAAAGTTTTGTGGTTTGAGACAAACTTAATCCAGATCCATCTTCCTTAACTTAATCTAGGGCTAGCATAGCAAGCAACACAAAAAAAAAGTGACCTTGCACACCTGCTCTCTCTCTTCAGAACCTCGCTGCCCAAGCATACTGATACGAAGTCCTGGAAAAGCCGCAAGAAGTTCCCTTTTCTTTCCCTTGTTCAGCTCATGTGACGCCTCTTAAGAAGGCAGACTTAAGTCATGCAGAGGCCAGCAAATCCACTTCCACCCTACGGCTGCTGATCGTTTAGAKGGGGATGAGCATACGGACAGCAGTTGAGTTAAGCACCACATTTGTTTGCAGAGCCAGCCACCACACCGACATCTGATGCTCCCAGACCTGGCTCTGAGGAGAGATGGGGCRCCACGGATGTGGGAGGTGGGCAGAGGAGCACATCTACACACAATCAACCTACAGCAGGGGAATGCATCCTCATAGCCTTCAGGGCACAAACTGCTGTTTATCATTGTGGGGGGTGGAAAGTGCCAAGTGCATGGTAGGATCAGAGGAAACAGAGGCATCTCTCTGAACACACCCACAACCCGAGGCTACCTAATACTACAGAGATCAAGAAAAATAAAGTCCTCTATTCAATAGTTCAACCAAATACAACATGGATTACAAAGATGCTGAACTTCTTTGGACTGACCAAAAAAACAGCTCTCAAAATTTAGAAATGTTTGAAACTTTGACATAAAGTGGAGGATGTTTTGTTTATTATTAGACAGTAGGAGTTATTTTTATAATTTAATCTTTGTCAACATCCCCTTTACTAAACTCCCATGCCAGTATTGCATCAAGCACGGCTTTCCTGTTTAGCAATGTCTCACAAGTTAACTGACTGCCTTGCAAAAACTATTTCAAAACCCACTTGCAGTGCATTAAAGATAAGAGATAAGCATTACGTGGATGACATCTTCTGAAAATCCATGGTAATCCATTGGTTTAGATTATGTATTTCTGGTGATAAATTATATAAATTCTTGAATGACTGAGTTTAAACATTAGGATTAGCACTCTGTGTTATGGATCATTTCTATTTTTATCATTTCCAGCCGCCCAGGTTAGCCAAGGACAGTGAACAAGGAAAGCAAATTGCTCCTCAAAGGGCTCTGCTGAGCCACACTGATCCAAGCCACCCTACTCACCCAGGCTAGCATTTCTTTACACCATAGAGTTTGCCTGCGACAAGACCACTTCATCAATACCAGAAAGAAGGCATATACCCTCTAGATCAAAGCAGGCATCAGACTCCCACAAAACTGCTGTTATAAAACAAAAGACACTATTTCAATAAGAAAAAGAATTTCAGGCAGGTGAATACCTATCGAAAAAGAATGACAACTAAGGTGGTCAACCCTTAAAGGTCAAGACATAGTGTGTTCAGGAGCCTTGACCATAGCTATTTTTATTAGACCAAAYGTCCTCCTCAGCCACAGTGAAGAAGACAGAGATCTGAAAGTCCCTGAACTTAATCATTTCCAGCCTCACGAGGCCCACACGCAGTTTTTCACATGGGAGCTGGCACTAAGGCATGCCCAACAGGAGTTGGGCAGCCTCGAGACACTGGCCTCCAGCTGCAGGATTCATTAGTAAAGCATGAACCTGGCAGTCCTTTACATCCATAACTTTTATCCTTTTGTGTCTGCAGCTCACTTTTTGGARAGCACAGCTGACTGAATCGGCTTCTGTTCTTCAAAGGACAGCTTCCATTAACTAAGTATAAATGCTATCATAGAGAAGAACAGGTGATAATAGCACAACAGTCAAATAGCTTCTAAATCCAGCGTTTTGCAATACAAAACCACTCAGCTTTCTTACAGATGCATTTTTATCTCCAAAAAAAAAAGGGGGGGAAGGGGAAAGGAATCCACAATTTCCGCAAGCACAGAGTAGTGCACTTGCACTTCCCTAACAAGAACAGCTGTGACAGCAAGCATGGGCTGCAGGTGCCCACGGAATCCAGCTGGACCCTGCCRCTGCTGGGAGCAGCAGTGCCGCAGGCCTGGCCAACACAACTTGCCGCTTCCACACCGGCCTGCACAACTCCACATTCGCTTGCCTCTCATGCCATAGTCCATAGAGAACAGCATTTCCAACAAAAGGCAGCACCTGGAACYGCAGCACCAGTCTCAAAACTTTGGCATTGCTGCTGCAGCTTGCACCAGGTTACCAAGACTCACTGAGCTGAAGGACAGGCCTCCCATCTGCCACACTCATTCTGAAGAAACACACTTGTAATGGAAGGGAAGAGACTTAACTCCCACATTAGCCACCTAACATCTATTTCCAGGTCTGCCTGAGGTACGAGCTCTTCCTCCCTCTCCTTTGACACTGATGAATAGATAACCAGCCCCCAAGACATAAAAACTGCAAATTCGACGGCAAATTTGAGGGGCTTTGCAAAGCAAAACAAAACAAAGGCAGACCCTTTGCATCCAGAGGCCAAATTCTTTTCTGGCAATTGGTCCCTGCCTCCACTATCAAGTGTGGATAAATCACCACTTCAGAAGTAACAGAGGAGAATCAGTCCCTGTTTTTACAGGACATGGATTTTTAGGATGCAGAAATTATACTAACATACTATCAGGTATTATTCTGACAAAACTGTGTATAATGGGCTCAGGTCTCCAGACAGCTCTCCCAAGATACAAGACCAAGTCTCCAGGACTTCAGCATAAGTTACTGCTAAGACCTCTAAAATCTCAGCAACAAGCAACTAACACAGCTTCAATTAATTGCATGTTTAATAACAACTTCTGAAATTTCCACAGAATGACTCTTCCTACTAGGAAGTACCTTCTCTAAAAGGCTGTTCATTACAACCCACAGAAGCTCAGCAAGATAGCCAGATCACGAACTCTCAGAAGGTAACATTACCACATATAAGATGCGAGTGAATTCAGTGCTACAGACATTAAGCTATTGATGCTGTTGATTCAGCAGCAGTTTCCCCATTCTCCACAGCTTAGGGAAGTTCACGGAAGACAAGGCTGGGCTCCAGGATCCGCACTCTAGAGGACAAGTTCCTAAGCTGTAGGACAGCCACAGGGAAAAGGAGGCATTTGCCACCTCTCWCCAGTAGTTCTAGTATTGATACTACATATACAGAAGACTAAGTGCAAAATACGCACTGTAAATGACCTAAAATCTAAGACTATAATCCAGTATTCACAGGAACGGAAAGCAATGTATATGAACCTGAATGGTACTCTCTCCTGCTCTGAACAAGGAAAGCAGTAGAGCATTTAGACACATATCAAACAGGAGTTTGCCAGTTTTAATTCATCAGAACATAATCAAGCAATACCGGTGCAGACAAATTAATACATATTTCTAACTGAACTTCATTCAATTAGCTACCTGTCCAGAAAAYATTGTGTAAAATCACGAGGACACCTTTCCAATTCATTTAGAAACAATATATCTACACACTTTTTAACCATTAAGAGCACATTAAGAAACCATTCCCAACAGCTGATATGCAAATKGGCTACAGCTGTGCAAGCTGAGCCAAACAATGGACATTTTTGGAAGCACTCAATCTAACTATGGGTGAAGCTTTATGCCAGGGCTCTGGCACACTTTAATAAGTCCCAAGTCTCTTCCACAGCTAAATTGGTGTAGAAAATGCGCAAACTCCTCCACATTTGCTCCATTCAGAAGCAGCAGCCCATCCCCCAGCTAAACTTCCCCTCTGCAGAGGCAACTCAAGCAGACACATGAGAACTGAGGCATGCCAGGGTATTTTCTAGACCCCCAAATCTAGGATAATACCCCTGCTGGAACACACCTCATACTCCTCACCCTTCCCCTAACATCGTAAGCTTACAGAAAATGCCTTGATGACAATTGCCAATAAATACATGAATTACRTGAAAAAATAAAATAGCTGTCTCAGTTAGTAATTACAGGTAACAGATGTTCCTCCCAATAGTACAACCTACTACTGCTTTTTGCCAGCATCCTAAATACAAATGGCAGTTTTTATGCCTATAAAAGACACAAGAGAACAAAACTACAGGACGGTGATATGGCCACACAGCCCTGCCAAGGTGCGAGGCGCTGCCAGAGGACAGGCCTCCACGGGCCACTGCACAGAACAGTTACGGGCACGAGGCCACCAGCAGCCCCGTGCACTATTTTTCTTTTTAGAGAGCCGAATATATAATTACTTGGAGCAAAAGAAAAGGCACTGAAATACTAAGACAGACAAGACAAGCCGTGGAGAGGAAGGTGGTAACCAGAACATTCACGAGCCATAGTCAGCCTCCCTGCTGCCCGGCCCCRCTCGTACCCCGCCCGGGAGCCGCACCTGGGACATCTGCGGGCGCAGGTTGATCTCCTTCAGGTTGATGGAGTGGCTGCGCAGGTTGTTGAGGAGCTGACAGAGCAACACGCCGTCGCGCAGCGTCTGCGCCAGATCGAACACCTGCGCCGTGTCCCAGGTGACGCGGTGGTTGGGCGGCAGCACCTTGCAGCTGATGAGCCATTGCCCGCACTGCTTCCAGGGCTCCATCGCGACCCGGCAGCGGCGGCGCCCGGCTCCTTTCTGCCCGCTGCCGGCTCCCCGCGGCGGGGCCGCACCGCCTCCTGCGCCGCGCCGCTCTCCGCCCGGCTCCGCCCCGGAGGCGGCCCGCGCCGCCCCCACGTGGCGGCCACGCTGCCCTCTGGCGGTACCGCAGCTCTTCTATAACGGTCGACGTCCCTTTTAACGGTCAACACCCTTTTGCATCGGTCGACACCCCCTCCCCGCGCGCCCCTCTCTTAACGGTCGACACCCCCTCCCCGCGCGCCCCCCCCTTCCGACGTGCACCTCTCAACCGTCGACTTCATGCGCCCCTCCCTAACCGTCGACACTCCCCCGCCCGCGCGCCCCTCTCTTAACG